ATTATTCACAGCAGTTATAATCATAATCACTCTTCAAGGTACAAAAAACCTTTTGAAATAAAGAATAAATATGAAATTCAGTGTTTCCTCATATTATTCATCATAACTGTGCCAAAGGAGGATGACGTGCGTTTGAAATTATTTATAAAAATGTATTGAGCAAAGTAAACCTGAAATAAATAAAATAAAAATGCAGGAGTTATCGTCTCTCGATTACAATTTCATTTTTATTATTATGCGTATTTCTCGGTATAATTACTACTATTATCGTGACCATTAACAATTTTCACTCATTTATTTACTAATCATAATCGTAATTACAGCATCATAATCATCGTTTTCATTTTTATCACTTAAATGAAATTAACTGAGTTATTTCAGTAACATCTTTATTTTAACTGACTTTCAAAAATTGATTTCAAGTTACTGTTAATATAATTGATGATTGTTTCACTTTGAAAATAAGACTCTTGAAAGTTGGTGTCCAATAAAGACTTCAGTTTGGGAACATTAGTAATTAATGTTAAGCTCTCTTTTAGTTAGGTAAGGTGGAAACCTTACCTAACCAAAAAACGGGGTTAGATGATGAAGTGCTGAATTAAAAAGTGGTATAGTAGATACGTCTACATTGAGCTAAATAAATAATCTGATCAGTCGTTATGAAACGCTATAATTTCATTTTTCAATTATCTAAATTGGAATGAAATGATAAGTAACAATGGAATTAAATGAGAAGTAACTCTTCTAGCGAATACTAGAAGAGATACATAAGATGCCCCCTTTGGTTTGGTTACACTAACATTGTGTTTACTTATTTAATTCTAAAATTCCATTCCATAGTGGTTTTAAATTGATTGGAATCGGAAATGAAAGACTTGGTGGCGAGCCCTTGAAACTGGTGTTAGCATCGACAGACTATGATTTTATTTGTCAAGCGTTAGCTTAATTAGCAGTCGAGAGTTGAGGCAGGTATCAGAAGTATTAGAAACATATCATTGACATGTAAAAATAGGTACAGAGAAATACGAAATCAGCACATGCATTTTATGCAAGTGCAAAAAGTAAGGAACGGATGAAAAGTGACTGAATGCTTGCTGAAAATAAAGTGTATAAGCAAGATGGAAAAAAAATGAAGGACTTTAATAGAATGTTCAGAAGATGAACGCAAATAGGTGACATCTTTTCTGTTCAGTTTCTACAGCAATAGTGATGTGATAAGATTCGATAGGGCTGAAACTGAAACACGAGGGAATAGAGTTAAGCTCACTAGCTTGATAGCTTTTAGCTCAGCTAACAGAGCTCAAGCACCTGTTCAGAATGCATCTGTCTGATCTGATGATGGAGCGGTTTGTAGCAAGAGAAAGTTTTCGATCTGCTCACAACTAAAAGTAAAATATTTATTCCTCAGTTCGCTCTTGTAAAATAATGACTTTTCTCTTCTCTTCGTTCTTCTACACTTTTCCTTTCTTTCTTAATGATTTCTTTTGATTTCAAAGGTATCTTTTAATTTCTTCTCCACTGCTTCAAAATTTTCACTTCGATTTAGCCAGTAGATTTAGTCATAACTTTTGTTGACTTAAATAATTTGTAGTGCATTCTTAGAGTTTTAATTTACTGTAAATGTATGGTAATTGCAACAGAAATAAATACTGATAAGACGAGAAGGCTATGTGTTCATTGCGCTCTGTCCATAGCAGAGAAGTTATGCTTTTCAAAGAATAATTATGTAGTAAAGAAGGACATAAATTTTGTAGTCTGATTACAGTTTCTAAAGCTAACGATAGTGCGATAGAGTTTTTCAAGTGGACCTGAAAATGAAATATTGGTTACATTGTCTTCTGGAAAGGTGAAAAGAAACACGTGGACAAATAAAAAATTTTAGTCATTCAATTATTAGGTAATTAATTGTGCAATAAGATGAAATTCTCATTTTTGTGTCAGTTTCCAGGTCACCTTTTTGCAACTTTATTTTACAGCATTTCGACATTGACTGCGTGATTGATTAAGAGAAATCAAATGATAATTTTGATTGATTAAGAAAAATGAAATGACAATCAAGTGAATTTTTTCATATATTGTAACCACGTTTTCCAGCAGATATGGGAGTTCATGTACTTCAAAACTCAATCATACACGCATACTACTGAGGTGCAGTTAGTGAAATAATTTGAAATGCTAAAATTAGCTCTGAAGAGTTTTATGACTGGAATATGAATTTCTACCATTACACAAATCAAAATTTTCCTGTTCAGTATATATTTTAGAATTCCACATCGGCTCCACATCTATATGCCATTGTCAATTGTCATGAAGATACTGCGCAGAAAATTTTATCGTGGAAATGTGAAACAGCAACAACTTATGCAAATGTGGCACATAGCACTGTTTATCCGTTTCTCAATTACCTCTTGCAATGATGCTTGAGGCAAGGTTGACCTTCGAGCAGAGCAATAATTATTTAAAAGTAATGAGGGACGGTCTTACAAATTTTCTTTCCTGAATATGTGTTTTGAAGCATTTATTGATTTTTAGCAGATTATGCTTGGACTTTGATCAGTTCAGGCTTTCTTCATTAATTAAAAGCAAAATACTTGCAGTTAATTCATTGTTAAATTAGAATAATTTCATTAGTCGAAATATTTTCCCAATTTCTTATGTCATTGACAATTACGATTACTGCTTTGATGTCCCGGAATTTAGTGCAAATCAGCCTGTGCTTACGCATGAATTTGAAAAATATAATCAATTTACTAGAGCTAGAAAGGTAATTCCTGTAAGATTTTAAAAAATTATTTCATTCAATGTGGAAATAATATATGACTCAAAATAAATATGCAATCACTGTAATCGCTTTTTTCACGTAAATCCATTTATAGTAAGTCATTAAAATGAAATGACAAAGAGAATATGAACTAAATAATAGTAAACAATTAATGGAAAAGGAATGTTGTTGAAGATACGGCAATATCGTCATCAACATAGTATTCTCTTAATAATTGATGAGAATAAATTACTGTCAGTAGTTGCTAAATTAGATAAATATGGAAAGTTAGTTCTAGAGCTCAAGCCAATATATATATTATGTTTTCTTATTTGCACAATTTTGAAGTTTTTTGTCCGTTACATAAAAGGTCTTTTTGTCAGTATATAGTTGCATTCAAAATTTTACATCAATATAGAAAGCCCACTTATTTGACAAAAGTAGTAAGTGAGACCTTAAAATATAAGAGGACCCGATTAACGTGAATTCACTTCAACTTCTGTTATTTTTTCAAGTATCCAGAGCAGAATAGACAAATTTTTACTGGTATAAAATAAGATATCAAAATTCAAAACTTTTCGTTTGTGTGTGGTGATTGACTGGGTATTTTGTCAGGATCGATTTGGAGTTGAATCACATTTTCATGATTTGAATCTACAGCAAAAATGTTAGGATGTGAAAGCCTGAAATGATAAAGTCTGCAAAATCTGGTCAGCAAATTGTTTGTGGTATACAAAAAGTGAATTATACCTTGTAAAGAATGAAAAAATAATTTCATATGTATCATTCGGGAAATGCACGAGATGGTAGATAACGAAAAATAAAAAGCATAAGTTAAGAAAAAGATGAATACCGCATTTGATTGATCGTCGCGATTGCATCATCGATGGTTGGGAAAAAATTATTCTTTGGGATAGTATTGAAAACTTTTGCTGTTTCAAAAAAATCGTGAACACTAGCTGCAACATAATTCTATAGTTTCTAGACTAATTTTGTCCTTGAAAGTCGAAGAGGATATTTTTCGCTGCATTTATTGAAAGCAACTATCATTCTAATTCTATTAGGTGCCAAAGAACAAATGACTCTGTTCATTTCAATCTTTATTTAAATTGATTGCGAAGCGCAGATTGCTTTGCTAGCAAATTTACCTAAGGTATTTTCACCAAGGTTGCAAGAAGCAGCTTCTGCAGTAGCTGTTTTTTACTGAACGATTTAAGCAACGAATTGCTCCATCCTAGTGTTCATTGTTTCCAAACATTGTTCATTTAATTATAAAAAAATTTAATTGATTATAAAATAGTTTTACCAGTACTGCTCGAGTTGTAATTAGGAAACTTACTGTTAACATTAGCGAAATACACTGTAATATTGAAATGACTTGAAAATTCGTGTGCAGTCTGCAAATACGTATGTTTGTCATGCTAATAGATATTCAAAAACTATATCATTCAACTATTAGAATGATGATTGAGATCAAATTTTTAAAAAAATTTGAGAGTTAAAGTTTTAGTTTTCTAATTTGAACACATTGCAAGCTATTTGATCTTCCAAATCTTAGAGTTTGCATCAAAATTGACTTATTAAATTTTTAATAGAAATAATAATGAAAAGTCACTAATGGACGATACATAACTCAAAACTAATGTCAAAAATAATGCACTTTGCAGCAAAATGCACAAGACTTGTAGAGATTATGATAGAAGTAGATGTGAGCTGTAGTCAAATTGTTGATTTTTGAAAATCAGATTTAAATGCAAGAACCTCTTTTAAAATATTTAGACCCATGCAATCAATGTATGAAATGGCTGAGCAGTCGATAATAAAGAATCGTTGGTCGAATGTTTTCACGTTACTTTTTACTTTGTAGTCATCCTGAAATGGTTTATTTTCGCGTCCAGTATCATAAAGTTATGACTTTATTTTACGAAATTAAAGGCTCAAATTTTTCAGTACTAAGTAACTAGTCAGTAAAAATGTGACAAACAGTAAACTAAGTAATCTAATACAGGACAAGAAATTCGATCTTTTTTTAATCACTGATTTTCAATTGCTTCAAATATCAAATATCAAATATCACACTGTTTAAAGCACAAAATATTTATACTTTCTTTGCTATCAGTACAGAAAAATTATTGACGAAAATTTGGGGATGGCTGTCTGGTGCCTATCGTTTGTAAGTTCTATCAAAGCTACTCATTACTATGAGTTGATTACTGACTAATTGCTTTTACTGATTTGTTTAAGAATTTGTAACCAATACAGTAATGATCATATTGGCTAGAATGCTCGTTTCTTTCTGCCACTCCAATAAGGCATCGTGAATACTTGTTTTGAAACGTCCTACATTATTAAATAATAGCGGACATTCAAAGCGATAAATACAAAAATTTGGATTAGATGTGGCTGCAGCATATCTTTTTGGATTATCAAAATAAGGATGATGTGGCGACAATTGCCCTAATCTTCGCCAACGTGGCCTGGAAATTCCAATTCAAGATCATTTTGCTATTTATTCCTTTATTTATTATGATTTTATAAATTCCTCTTTAATTATTTCTATCATTTATTTCAACTTTATGCGCGTAACACATGATTTTTATCGTAAATTTTTCAGTATGTTGCTAAATTTGAAAAGGCACTTCAAATTTAGAAAATTAAGGAAATTTAGAATTCATAACAGAATACCTTTTATAACTTACATAAATTAACGATTTGAAAATATATTTGATTAACTTTTCTTCTCACTCCTATAAGATAAATTACTTTTATCTCTAACTCATAATAATAATAAATACCACTGAGAACGGAACAACAACGTTAACATTGCGAAAATGACTGCAATAACCAAACCGTCCATGACATCTGCAGCAACGGTCGCAACAAATGAGACAACCCAAATAAGCTACAAATTTATTCAAATTATTTTTATCATTTTTAAAAATTATTAGCTTGTTTTCAAAAATATTGCGACCAAAGTCTAAAAATAGGTGGATATAAATTTTTTTTCTTTATAATTTAATCCATTAAACTGAATAGAACGTACAAAATCAATCTTCGATACTGGCCAAATTTTTGGTAATTCGGCAAATCTATAGAACATGGTGCGAAGTGACATGAGAAGAATGACAGCCAGTATGCACTGTAATTAAGAATAAAAATCAGTTTTGATCTTTTATAAAAAATTGATGTCTGCAGCATTTAAATGAAATTGAAAGTAAAAGGATGCATAGAGAAATAAACCATTGGCAAAGCATTGAGCAGTGGTCCGACCCAGAGAATAACTGCTACTATTAACAAACAACTTGGAACGGAAGCAAACTGAAATAGTTAAAAAATTTTAAGTTGGTAGCCAAGGTTAGCTGCAAAATTTTAGTTTTTTTGAGCACAATAATATTTGATTAAAATTAAGGGTTATGAAAAGAGTAAAAATGGTGAAGAAATTTATTTTTCATGGAAAAAGATTTTTTACCAGTTAAAAAATCAACTGATCAATCAATCATTACTGATCAAAAACTAAGCATTTTTTTCTTCTCAAAAGTATTTGTTGTGCACCGAAAATTGATTATTTTTTACCATCTAAAAATAATCAAATAAAGTAATCAACAATTCATCGGTTATTCTTCTTAAAAATTAAAATTAATTTCTGTTGATCATAAATTTATCGTCTTACTTTTCCGCTAAAAGTTTTTCGCGTACAACAGTAATTTATCAAATTTCTTTCCCTCTAAAAATAATCATTACCTGTTTAAATTTTATCATTAATTTTCTGCACCGATTTCAATAAGTTGCAGTATTTGGAAAGCAGAAAATTTGTTAAAAATAACTGAAAAAATTTTTTTTCCAAACAAAAACAGAAACTTATTGTTGCTGAATTTATTTTTTTTTTCACGGGTTTTCGTTACAGCATTTCATTCTTACTAAATAAAGAATAAAGCAGTTCCAAAATACAACAATAAATTATAACTTTTGACTCATGAATTTTGCGATTTTTATCATAACTTCATTACATTCATAGCTTCACTCAAGCGTAAGTTCACGTTCTTTTCAATTTCAAATTATTATAACGTTTATGATTCTTAGTTTTCTGCTTCAGCAATTTTATTTTAGTTAAAATAACTTTGTAATTTGCTTTCAAGTAAAGACACATTTTTGATAATACCTAAGCATGGATCTCTCTTTCATTCTTTATTACAATTTTCAGTAAAAAAGATGCAAACAATTTGGATTACCTGAGTCCTTGACCCACTTTCTACATTGACCATAGTACGTCCCAGAGAGGTAGCCACTGGGTAAATGGGAAAAAAGCTACCGAGAACGGTTGAAAAACCTAGCGCATATAATTCCTTAAAAGTTGCACATATTAGTTCTACAGAAAAAAAATCCATCCAGCATACCATATAAACCAGATTTATAATTATAAAAAACATATAGTGTTGTGAAGAAAGACAAGTGGTTTATTTAATCACTGGATGACTGCTAACTACACACTAAGAAGCAAGAAAATAAACAAATATAATGTAAAATGAAATTCATATTTCGATTTGATTTTTATTTCAAGTATAAATAGGTAGTAACTTACTTACTTGTTCAGAATCTATGGAATAATGCTTTTGTTTAGCTAGCATCTTAGCCATGGAAATATGTACAGCGATGACTACAGCAGCAATGCCCATTGCATATGGAAAACATATACCGACCAAATCGAAGCGTGGCAGTTGCGGTTCAGGAAGACTAAAGTATAAAAGTCTTTTGTTGAGAAAGCCTAGAATATTTTTTTCCAGTCATTCTATTTTCTGAAAAGAATTCAGATTCTATTAATCTTTCTACTTTCCTTGACGTCTTCATAGCTTCATATTTTGAAGAAATTCTTACATAGCAGGAATTTCACCAACAACTGCTACATTTTCGTATTTGTTGAGATTCAGAAAATATGAGATTGCAGTCGATATCATTATCTGCAGTTGTAGGTGATCAAATATGCATTTTTATTAATTTCTTCACTGGGTAAGATCAGTTGCGGAAAAAATATCCTTCAACTGATTAAAGTCTGGGACATTCAGTTTCGAGAAACTTCTAGTAAATGTTGTCAACTTGGCTCTATTAAAATCGTACTTCCAGTTTTAGAGTTTCTCTAAACACAAGTGCAATGCATTGGAACGTTTGCATAACTTGTTCTAAATATGCTTTCTATTACAGTGATATCGTCTACTTTATACTATAATGATGCAAATTTGTTGCAGCGATCCAAAAATCTTACTCATCAAATTCTATAAACAAGTAGTCTGCTGCTATAAAATAAACTTGCCACAAGTAATTCATGAGGTATTGGTGTGTCGAATGGTAACACTTTCTCCATAAATGGTGTTACACATTTTTTGCCAAAATATAAAAATATCGTGCTAAAAATCGATAACCCCAGTGTGTAGAGATTTGTCTGCGGAATGCGGATTATAATGTGATAAAGTCTCTGGAACGTAATAATTTATTTTTTGGCTAAAGCGAATGATTAAACAAAGTGAATTATTGTTATTATTTATTTATTATTATTATCATTATTATTATTAACAACTATTAATTATTATTGTCATGGGAATGAAAATGTCTTCACTTGACTATTTTCAAAAATTTGTGGTAGAAAATGATTGAATTGTCACAAATAATTCCTATAGTTTCAGCTTGAATCGCATTCAGAAATTGATGATTTCAGTTACAAGTTAATACTTTACCTTGAAAACATAACCTAGTCCATAAAACTTGGGTACTCTTATACCAAGAAAAGTATCTAGTTGACCGACAACAACATGCACAGCAGAACCCGTAGTGAAACCAGATACCAATTGATCAGAGAAATAAGTTGTGATAAACTCAAGTTGAAGTATGCCAGCGATTGTCTAGAATCAACTTAATAAATATATTTAACTACAAAATCATATGTAAACCCTCGCGATTTCGATCACAAGTTAATAGCTGGAATTTAACAGTTTTTCTTGGAAAAGGACAAATAATCAAAGTATAAATCTTTTTAGCCTTCTGAATGTGACCATTTGAGCAATTTTTCTTCTGTTCTTATATTATATTTTTACTTATTTGTATTACATATGCGATGTTAGAATGATCATTTGAATTTGTTATTCAAATCAATCACATTATGACTTGGAAGTATATTAACATATACATACCTCAATGACACCTGTAGTAAAGGTAAGTGCAGTAGCAATTTCTATATTGCTCGCAGAAGGTAAAGTATAATTATCAAACAGAGTAGCATTGAGTTGTGAATACTGCGTTGCAATCTTATCCACTGCCACACCAGACATTATTGCTGTCACGGCGAATGCTCCTAAATGAAGGATATTTTATCATTAAATTTGTCCTTAGTCTACAATTTAGTGCAGGCAGAAACAAAGTTATCAATAAGAATTTGCAACTGATTCATATATTGTGCTATTACTCTTTAGTATAAATTTTAGTACCTTATTGAAACTTTTGCTCAACTTTTTTCTATTTTAAGCAATGAAAAAAAAATGAAAGTGAGAATAGTTACCAATTGATACATGCCTTGAGGTTCCAAAAAGCATATAAAAGATGACTGGGAAAAGTGAGGCATACAAGCCGTATATTGGGTCAACTCCTATCACTACTGCAAATGCTAATCCTAAAACAAACACTCTTACTTATCCAAAGAAGCATTCATGATTATTATAAAATAAAAGTATCTAAATGAATGAGAATAGCATAATAAGTATTGTAATTTTATTTGGTATTTTAATTTGCAGAAAAAAAAAATGAACCCTGGAGTATATGGGAGATACCAGTAGTCAAGCCGCCAACAGTATCGTAAAGGAGATCTTCCTTCCATTTATAGTCCGGTAGCCAACGGAAAATAGGCACAAAACTTGTGAACAGCCGCCAAAAATTAGATAGACTTAAAAATGGTAATAGCAGTCGATGAATAAAGTCTCTGAAAGTTTACTTGCTTGAAATGTTTAAAAAAAATAAATAAATAAGCATTTAAATGAACGAGAACAGCACGATAAGCCATCTTTTCATTTTCTTACTACTTAATTAGAATTTTTATGTGGATTTCTAACTCTCACACACAAAATCATCTGTTATCTCAAATTTAATCCTCTAAATACAGATAATGGAAGTAAGTTATTATCTGCCTGACTTTCTATAAAGCTGAATTAAAGATGGCTGAAGTACTGTTAAGTAAGAATCATTTCATAAACTCAAAGTTGAAGGCAGCATTATAGAAAATTATAGATTATTATTTAACGGGATATTTTTGTTTTGATTTTAAATTAAAAACTGTACATATTTATTTTTTCTAACATACAATATGATGGTATACGTTTTTAAAGCGTTAAATAATCAGATGCATAGACATACTTTACTCGTCGTTGTATTGAAGATTGTGATTTACAGCGGAATTTTCGATCATATTCGTCCTTAAATGACCGTTAAATTTCAATATATTTTTCATGCTTCAGCACTGAATTTTGAAAGTTTTTTAAAAGTATGTTTGAGAAAACCTTTGCTAGTATTATTTTAACAAAAACGATTAATGATGAAATTGTGGATACTAATTTATAAGCAACTTTTACTATCGAATTTTGGCGCGCATTCCTATTTGAATTCATTATCAAAAACAAAAGATCTTTGGACTCATTCATTTATCTCTTCGGTAATATATATATACACATTAGCTTTATTATTTTATGTGAATTTTAAACTCCCACACCCAAAATCTATATTGTAATATAATAAATGAACTGTCAATTCAGTGGTGCAAAACAGGCATTGACGTGCTTCAATACTTTTGAACAAGTTGATGGCTGATCGACTTTTTAGCAGTTCATTTTTTTTGAAATTTGCTAGTATATATATAGTAAACGAAATGTTAATATAGTTCAATAGCTGAGTGTTAATAGCAAAGTCAATAATTGACATCACAAGGCAGCTCCAAGAAACATAACAGTGCTATGAAGACGAGATAAGAAAGCGACAGAAGAGGCCATCGGCTGGAAGGTAAGCGTAGAAAAGAAGATAAGTTTGAATTCCACAAAATCTCACAGGAGGTAAAAAGCCAAGTGAGGCCATGAAGTGTATGAGGGGAATGAATCTCATACTTGCTCTTAAACGTCGCTATCATGGAACTTTAAGCATGTTGGCGGAGCGTTTGAGAGTTTATGGAAATGAAATAAAAAGTTATGAGTCCCGATGTGCGTTTAAAATTCATTTCCAAGCCATAAAAGTGTTAGCTTTGGGCTGAAACATGCAGTCAGCTTTACTTGCCATACAACTTATATTTATTTATTCGTATTCATTTCTATATGCAATTATTCTCTCAAGAATTTATTTATTTTTTTGTTGTTTAAGCACATCAATTAGTTACTAAATGCTCATTTAGCAAATTTTGTTGAATCAGTTAGAAAAAAAAAGATAGAGGCAAAACTGACTTGATTCATTCCATAGACATCTAGCCATGCATCTTTGCTTTCCATTGTATCTGAAATGTATGAATTTTTCTTTTATTATTGCCAAGTATTAGAAATCCAAACGATTAGATGTTATAAATTCAAATAATTTATTGCGTCTATCAGATTTTAAAAATAAAGAAGCAAACACAAGGAATTGTCCGAACAAAAAAAAAATTTTTAAATTTAATATAAAATATCTGCAATTTTAATTTTATAATCAATTTTTAATTTCTATTTTCATTTTCAGTCTATGTAGGGTATAGGTCTCATTTGAGCTAGGTATTCATAAATGCAAAACAGTAAGACAACTTTAATTGATATCGACAAAGTAAAAAATAAAGGTATTTGACAAGTTTCAAAATATTTCTCAATAGATAATTCGGTAATTTAAGATTTTGCCAAAAATTTTGACAGTAAGAATATTTTCTCGTGCTAGATTGCATGCGGAATTAAACTCTGATTAAAAATAATCAAAGATGTTTCATGAACTTGTCACTTCTTTTTGACGATTATGAATGTTAACACACACATCACTAAAGTTGAGTTCTCATGTTAAACTTTAGTTTTGGAACTAAACAATTTCATTTCAGTATGATACAGCCAAAGTTTTGAATTTTTTGCCCCTCAAATCATTAAGTGATAAAAAATTATCAATCATTTCTTTCGTATTGAAGTTCTATCAAATCACTTACTCACTAAGTAATAGATCACATCATTAACCATAAAATTATTGACTTTGATCAAATATTCAATAGTTTGTTTATTCAATTGTTAATAACAAGATCTTACAACTTATATTTTTATTCAAGGTTCATAAATCGAAATTTCTATTTATAATTTGATTTGCCAGCAAATACAAAAAACGAACTTTCTCATCATACTTTATCTAATTTTGCACCTTAGACCGAGTAAGCTGCTCTTCAAAAGGATTACAATAGATTAAATATTTCCAGGTAATATTATGGACATTGCTATTTATTTGTGGCAAATGGAATCGTAAAAAGTAGAGGAAATCGTCTTCCAATGCATGCATCTTGCTATAGGTTATTCACTACTAGCTTTGGAATCTTTTTCTTCCAAATAAAATGCTGCATTTTGACATGTACCAAAACAAATTTTGTCTGTTCTGTGAATTCTAGTCAGTCTTTTTTTATACTTACAAATTTGTCATCATTCGATTGATTAATGACTACACTTTACCAAGTAGTAATCACACTTAAGTAAATTGTTGCTACTGCAAATCTTTCTTGAAATCAAATGAATTTGTTTTTCATTCAAGCTTTTGAATTGTTTCCTAATGCTGAGGCAGTATTCTTGACCTTATTATAGTATTCATACTTCTTACTCTTCAGAAAATAACTTTTATACAGAATTTACTTGAAGTATTGAGTATATTTTTTTGCTCATATTTAATAATGAAATGTCATATTTCGCAGAGAAGTTTATTCAAGCACATAGCCTGAATTTTGGAAATGTCCATTAAGGGACATTCCTTCCTTAATTAATAGCTCATGCAAATCTAAGTGAACGGGAATATTATGGGAGTATCATTCAAACGTAGTCTGCATCAAATTTTGCGGTGAATTAAAATGATGATTTGTTGATTTGATTCAATGTCAATACTTGAATTTGTCGGAAGAAATGACTGAAACCGTGAGAAAGCAACAATAGTTAGGAAATTTATTGCTTTGATTAGGAAAATGTTCAAATTCAAGTGGATGGATGGCGCAGGGCACCAAAGAAATTTTCAATTGATCTTTGCCAGGATCAATTGACTTTTGCTCTGCTAAGCAAAAGTCAGAGCATAGCAGGGAGAACTATGACTTAATCGCAGATAAAAAGAGTCATAATAATTACTTTAACAAATGAATAATGGCATTGTTTTGGAACTGTTCATTCTTTACGTAATATTGCAGACTTAGTCATAGCTATAGTTGTGTTTATTCCAGTGTAAGGAACATGAGTCTTCCTATACAGCATCAAACAGTTTATGCTGTTATTACCATTTAATAAAGTTATAACTATGGATTCCATTAGTAATAATAATATTACTAGCATTGATATCAGTATAACATTAATAATAATTAGTAATAATAATAGTAATAGTAATAATAATAACAATTAAATTAAAGGTCAAATAAAAATTATAGATCAAAAAAACATGAAGACAAAGAAACGGTAAGGTACTTTCAAGGTAGCTCATTGGTTTTGCAGATTTTCAGCAGTATGATTTTAAAGATGAAATGTCCATGCATGAAGAAGGAGGTAAAATAGTGCAATCAATTATGTTCCCAATTTTGCTTCTCTTCTCTTTTACCAGAAATGTAGTTTCTGGCTGGTAATGTTGGTGGAAGATTCGGTGTACAATTAATTACTTGCCTTTCTTTACCTCTTCACTTTTAATTCACAGCATGAATTTTCAATATATTTGCTATTTATTATTCAATGAACTGACTAACTAACTAATTAATTAAGTAATTAATTAATTAACCTTCCTTTACCTTTCTTCTCCCCTTCTCTCACTGCCAGACTTGTTGCTTTGCTTTGAAAAAAAGTGAAATAATTTTGACTACTTCTCTTTACCTGCCCGTATGAGTTTACTTGATTGAATTAAAAGCTGCGCTGAATTAATGATATTGCTTTTTATTAATTAATCACCCATTCTTTGCACTTCAATGCTCAGATTGATTCGAAATTAAAGAAAAAAAAAATGGCAGCTGGCAATTGAGTAACTGACAACGTAACTTTACAGTATTTTCCTGCTATGTGTTACAGTGATTTCTTCCATTTACGTCACTATGCACTTAGTTGTATCACCTTAAAACTTTGGCAGTTTAACGTCATCTCAGCTATTAATCATTCAGTGAAACTGATTTGTAAAAACAGATAAGGAGAAGTCAACACTGGATCTTAAACAAATTAAATTTCTTTTCATCTAGTGGTTAACAATGAACGCGTGCTCCGATTGCACAAAATTCAAAAATCACTGCTGTAAATTACTGTTTACAGACCATCATCGAACCGATGTTTGTGAATTAAAAGCAGATATGAATTCGATATATTTAGATGAGCAAGCAAAACGATTAGATCATTCCTACTTCACTACTACACCATTTCTGAAGTAGTTTAAAGCGTTTATTGGTTGATTCATTTACCGACTTACTGGGATGAAAATGTAAATTTTGAGATCGAACTGTAATATTTACATTTGTTGCAAACATAAGCGAAGTTATAGGAGATCACTTTGTAAAACAGAGCAATTGATGCAATGTTTGTTTTACCTATCTTCAGCTTTGGTAAGAAAACCAAAACAGATCACAACGTGCTTGAAATGACTCTGAAGTAATAATTTACTACGTAATAATGCAGTTAAAATGATTGAAATTCTTGAAAAATGCAAAGTATCACTGACTGATTTTCATTAAATCAAAACATTGTTCATAATGTTAAAACCCGTTATGGACATCACTTAAAAAATTCACATCACTTTACAAATCTTTTACAAGTGAATAAATAGATCTGTGGGTGGGTGTTTTCTTATTTAATGTAATGGGATAGGAGATTTAATGCCGAAGAAGTCACTTCATCACTCATTTCCATCGAAAAAGAAACATTTAAAATTAAGTTTCCTGAATCGCAGAGAAAGATTGAAACTTATACCACAATTTTCTTTTTCGTTATAGAATACCATGCAAAAATGTTCTTCCAACTGAAATCAATGATCAAACTTTAAATGTTTCTGACCTTTTGATTACTGCGCTTTTTTCGTCTTTTTTTTGGTGTAATTACTTCCATTTATTTAACATAGCTTTGTGTTCAAAAAAATCAATACACAGCACTGCAGTTTCCCTTCTTTGTTTTTGAGCTGATTAACTGCTTAACTGCTTTAGTCTTCGACTGATTTCGCTCTCCATTGAAGCTATGTGTTCTGAATGTGTGAAAAGAAGTGAAACTAGAGAAAGCTATAACAATTTCAATTTATTAGATATTTAAATAATTTCTTCAGGTGTATGTATGTGAGACATTGGTCTTATTTTCATTACAGTTTTTTGAAAATTAATCTTGATGAATTCGACTCACTAAATATCATTCAACATAAGAAAAAAATTTGGGGATGGACAAGAGCATGCAAGAGAGAAGTTGTCTTTTGAAACATGATATTGATATTTCAAGAAACATATTTGTGTAAAGCTTTGAAAAACAAAGCAGAAGCTTCATTCGTCACATGATTAGTATATTATCCATAAAATCAAGTCATAAGTTGAAATATTATAACCACTTATTTGATTTATTTCTTTTAATCGTGGAAAACAGAGAGAAGGTAAGGTTAGCACAACATTAACTTTTTATGTTATAAAAAGTTAGCACAACGTTAACTATGTCATATAAGGTTAGCACAACGTTAACTTTTTAAGTTATCTCCAGTTGCATTTTGACAATTATGTAATACCGAGATATAGTATAATATAAATACAGAATTTAAAAAGCCAGAAATTTACTAACCTTGGATAATAATTCCCAAGAAAAGTAATTGTATTTTGTAAGGAAAATTTTTTATCGCGAAATAAGTTTTTTTTTTCAAGAAATAAGATTTAACTAGTTGGAATCATCGAAACTTTTTATTAACTCTTGCAAATGTAATATAAATCCTATTGCGTGAAATAATCATTCAATCATAATGTTGATCTCGGATTTGTAATATTTAACCTTTTCTGATCTCTCGTATATCAGTGATGCCTATAAACTTTATATCACAGCATCTAGCAGAGCTAGACATTAGTTACCAAGCAAAAAATATTAAGAAATAATGTCAAGTTGCCATTGGTGAGTTTTAAAATAGTGTGTAACGAATTAAAATAGAATGGATTTTAATCCCAAGAATGTCACGAAATTTAGGTAACTGCGCAAAAGAGAGTGCCTTCTAACTCTAATTCATAAATGTGATTTTGTATAATTTTTGGCCAATTTTTTACTGTCTTCATTGAGTTTATCTATTTTCAACTTTGTTTTACAACTAAAAAATCAGCCATCAGAATTTACTTCTTTCTCATCATCTTTCTCTGCAAGCAATCACTTCTTTTCATATTATGAAATAAGCAGAAGTGTACTATGCCATTAAAGTGACTGAAATCTGCATTCAATTAAAACATGCAGTTAAGCTGCGAGAAAACATGTAATCTTAATTACACTGTTGTGACATAAGCCTAATCATTGTTAAAGTGTCTAGTAATTTCGAAGGTATTTGAAATGGATTGTGTGTGAGAATGGCATCAGGGTTCATAAATGGGATTATAAGAACTTTCTGAATTTTTTCGTTGACAAAAAAGACTAAACACTTTTGGTGTTAATTGGCTATCTGCGACTTACTACAAAAAGTTTCACAAACACAAAAAACATAAGTGTTGGATCAGTTGCATATTGTCATATGCAACTAGCTGTACAGCATGAAATCAATAAATTTGTTACAAAAACATATTGCAGTGTCTTGTAGAGCAGTTTAAAAAAGTACTCAGTGTCATTAAAATGCATGGGACTGTATTTCATAGCTTCAATTCCTTCCTGTATAATTTTATCTAATTTCAGATTAATATTGTGATATGTCTGCGATGAACTGTTGAAAAGGTAAGCTCCCTGTATTAGAAGTCTTACAAACTAACAAAAAATGTGCCCATTTACGTGCATAATACTCTAACTGTTTTTCGTCAATTTGTACGTTTATTTCATTGTTAACTTCATAACAAGATAACATAATGCTTCTAATACATTGTTTGCAAAAAATTTGTCAAAAATTTAATTTAAAAGTAAAATATTATAAATTTGACGTATAAAGACATTACATAAAAATTCTAATCACTTATCACTTAAAAAAAATTATTTATTAAGTAACTTTCCTTTTCTGTATTTCTAGTCGTAGAATGACTGAAGCTAAACTTCACCTGTAAATCAAGAAAAATGAACATTTCCAAACTCATAACTTTTATTAGCCGCTTGCAAATGAAGGATGCAAATGAGAAAAGTAGGATCAAATATAATGGTTCTATATAATTTTGTCCCCAAAAAATCTGTTTACTTGATTAAAGTGCAAAGATTAAAATGCTCAGCAAACAAGTAAATCAATCTGTGTAATCAACTACTTCAATAAGCACTGAGCATATGAAAATGTATTTACTTTGAGTGCAGCAAAGCATTATTAGTTAGAGTGATACAATGACACACTTCATAAGTCGATTGCATATTATTGCAGTTACAATATTTTGCAAAGTTTCACTTGAGTGAAGTCACATGTTACTCGACTGTAAATTAGTTAGTTCGTTGGCTAGCTTAGCTTACTTATTGTAAATAGTCAATTAACTTGCAGCTGATCATATTACTTGCTTAGTTCACTTGGAATTTATCCATAGATGCTATGCTTGTTTTAGTTACTATAGCGGTCGGTTATTATTAGTGATGCAATGAGTGCTGCAGTCATTGTTTGCTAATGAAAATGATATTGTTATTGTCAGGTCTATATTGTTTTGCTTATGTCATAACCACTATTGTTGATTGTTTCATTGTGTCGTCACTGAAGTGCTTGTTATCACGACTACTATTAATAGTTTTTAACCACAACTATTCTTATTATCATTTTCACTTTTATCATAATATTTCGATTGAGATGGAAAAGTGTTACTAATCAGAAATGTTTTGCAGCGAATTCTTAAAAGTTTTCATTATTCATTGTAACACCAATACAAAAAATATTAACAAGCGAACCAATTATTTCATAATTGATTGATGATTAATTAACTAAGGTTATCAATCGATTTTCATGCGAGCCTTCAATATTTGCATTCATTCAACCGTGAAAATCGGTTATTCTGAGTAATCAAAAGATTACATAGAGCAAACAGTCTAAAAATACAGCGCTCAAAAGTCTCAAATTATGAGTTAGTGTCCATAATTTGATTTCGTGTTATGACACTACCCTGATCTACCAATAGCTAATTCAATCCTTTTAATTTCAGCTTGGATCGGAGACTCAAGTTGCTCTTTCCTATTGTTTGTTTCCACACGATCTAGTCTTTGCGTTTTAACAATGTTTACAACTGTATGCTACAGCTTTTAATTTCTTCTGAATATATACTTCATGTTTTGTGCCTCTTTGCATACTAACCACGTATCTTTTTTTCCTTACAAATGTACGCCAAACATTGTGCATCGTTACTCAACTGTTAACGCGTACAACTGTAAAAATCTGCATGAATTGCGTTCACGCAAGAGGAAGTGACAGAATAACTCATAAGGTGAGAAACTAGACAGTATGAGAAACTAGACAGTAGTTCACTAATCACGGCTGATGTGTGATACATATTTTGTACAAGTAAAAATCCATATTTAAAATATATACGTGAGTGCATGTGTGCGCTATCGTGGTAGACTTGTTCTTCTCGTTTCATCAAAGTATCACAAGAGAAGTTTCATCCTCTTCATAGTTTTATGTTTTGTTTTACTTCACGAAAAGAAACTGTTTTTCAAAGTTTGAGATCGATCTTCCAAGCTTAGGTCTTTCAGTTACAAAATATCAGCGACAAATAAATAGTCATAAGATCTAGGGAACTTTTGATCGCCTTTCAACAAAGAAAGAATTTCTTTTCAGAAAGCTTCCCATACAAAGTGCTAAGAAGTATGATTTTTCGTCTTAACTATTTGTAGGAATTTCATTTTTCGTCTGTATTTTATTTCTGTCTTCCGTTTTCTCTACTTTTATAATACAGCACTATTTATATATGTAAAGGAATAACTTTCAAGTCAATTAGCACTAACTTTAACGATTCGTTGAAAAACATAAGAATGCCAGGCATGTACATTCAGAATAACATACCCTTAGGCAAGTTCACGTTTTTTCATGTATAGCGAAAAGTTCATTCCATTTTTCTTATCTATACCAGGCATTAAAATCAGTGAAAAATAGAGTTACAGTTTAAGTTGCAGTATTCGAACAGAAATAAATCTGAAAAGCTTGATGAAACATGTAATAGCAGCATATATTTACAAGTTCAATAATTGCGAACGTGGATGAAAAGACGTAAGAATCTCCTTCGCCTACACTAACTGCTCTCAATAGCTGCTTTCAACGTGACAACTGCCAGTCACAGCTAGATAGGCAGGTGACAGACTGGCATTGTACTGAGCAATGATATAATTTGCCTCTCTCCTCAAACATTAGTTCTCTCCTTCTTCATAGAAATGATAGTATACGAGTAGCGTGAAATTGAAAAATGAATAAATGAATGAAGAAATTATGATAATTACTCTCGGATTATTATTGTTAATCACTATTTTCGTTCATTTTCAGCATATTCAGAAGATGTTCCCAAAGTTTTTATTGCTGAATTTGGTATTATGCTACAATTCTTCAGAATCAGACTTATATATTATATTTTCATTTTCGCTAGTTATGAAGTTCACGAACAATGATAACCAGCAGTAATAATACCATTATTATTTGCATCATAGCGATGACATTACTATTAATAATGTTGACATATTTGTCATTAGCTTTTAACTGGCTTCAAATTCACATTTACAAAATATTCACCAAATTTGAATGCAAGTTCATATGAGCATTTATACACATTCATAAAGTCTCCCATTTTAACACATAGTTTTCATCAATTTTGTTCATAATTATCGTATTATTAGGTTTTCTTTGTAATTACTATTTAAATCTCTGTGAAGGGCATATCCTAATATTTTCTATTCACTTGAAGCATATCTTTTTACTTTCAGAAGGTAATCATCAGCTTGCAATATCTTCTGTCAAATTTATGAAACTTATCATTTTTCAGAAAGATAAGCATTTACTGGTATCGTTTGACTATCAATAATATGATAATTTTTGTACAGTATTGTTACACTTTTCATCTTGTAAGTGAATCTAATTTTTCTTTTTCTCGAATAATTGCTATGGATCGAAAGTATTCAAAGCACATCTATCTTTCAACATCAACAGTGCTTTGAATGCTAGATCCGACTAGTCCAGTCCTTCTTCTCGTAGGACTCATTAAATATACAAATATTTTGTTTTTCAAAATAGTCTTGATGACTAAAAACTTTAGTGAATAAAAATTATTGTGCATAGTGAAATTGCCAAGTACTCTATCCTTATAAGGTTTGCTTGAAGAAGTATGATACACAAAATATTACTGGTTTATTAGGATAAAGAAGAAAATTTTTGAAATGATTACAAACTTTACAATGCATACTTTTGTCTGCGTTCTTCTTACACAGTATGTGTTTATTGAAACAAAACAAAATATTTTTAACTTCAGAGCGAAAAATACATTCGATAAAAAGAAAGAAATGGTGAATTGTGCTTATGCAGTAAAGATGCTATTCGAAAAAATTACGTGATTAATTTTTCATACGTTCATGCTTATTCTGCAGACTTTTATCAAATGTTTGTTTGTGTTCAGCAGTTGTGTATAAATAATGAATGATCATTTATTTCCAAGTTATTTTTCGAAATGTTTTTGCAGTAAAATAATCTCGAAAAAACTATTGTGAAATTAAAACAAGTAGCCAAATTTTAGAACTTTCAGAATATCGTAGTGAATTCGGTCAGCAGTCAGTATTTTCTAAATATTTTGTTGATGACATCGAAAAATTTTCATGGGGAAAGTTCAGGAAAATTCATGAGAAGCGCAGGTGGACGTGTAAGCTTTCGATATATTTGGACTACAAAAGTTTTGCTGCGACAGATTAACGATAACGAAGCGGTGATTTTGCGCGTTTCACCGAAATTCGCAACTGTTCATGGTTATGTTGCATTTCAGTGGTCGCTGCAAATGCGCGGCACAGTATTCGTCAATGACGAAGTTCGACTTATTTTATTCAATTTGTTCTCATCTTTTCTTATTTTAGCTTTCAAAAGCAGTCCTTTGTGGCTAGGTTGGCAATGTACTGCTTGGTTTTTTTAGGGAGACAAGAATTCTGCAGATCAAAGTGATGAAGAAGCAAGTCAAGAATTAGATTACGTCTCTTTATCCTTGTACTTCAACGATGGACCCGTTCCTGTAATCAGTGACCTGCGTACAACTCTTCGAATTCTAGAGAACAAAAAGTGTAATATAGAATGCAACGATGACAGTTACATCATTAGTGAAAGTAATTTTAATTAATCCATTTCTACTGCAGGTCTTCATTAGATTTAGAAAATATATTTTTTGCAAAAAAACACATTTAACATTCATTTACAGATCATTTCAAACTTTGGAAGCATTTTTAATTTATCATTTTTAATGTGAAAGCAGTGTTTCTGCAGGTTTTGTTTCGAGCTGTGTGCACAAACTGTATTTTACTAGTACTAAATATATTTAATAGCTTTGATCTCTTTTTTCAACTCAACACCAACATTTACTAAAAAAGGATTGTGAGTCTAGTTTTTGAAATAGCTTCATAACCATTTGCATCTGTAGTTAGTCTTTGGGATTCGTGAATGGCTGCAAGCAACAACCATATGAAATATTATTTCTTCATCAGAACGCATTACTTCATTTCTTAACAGTCATTAGAAATGAGTAGAAAAATAACTTAGTTCGAGAAAACATTTTATTTGCTGATTTAGAAGTTACTGATTTCCAGCTATGACTGTGAATGTCCTTCGTGGCAAAGAGACGGAATTGGCGGCAACTAAGCGATTTAATATTTCAAACTACATTAAGGTCAATTGGCTTTCGCATATCTTGTTTCTACACTTACCAAACTGTCTCGAAGAATTGTCTAGTGTTCTAGAAAAAATAGTCAATTAGCAAAGTTCTCATATGACATTTACTATTTTTGTTGGAAAAATCTCATTCAGTCTTAATTAATCATAATCTTATTGAGCAGTTCTTGAAGAAGTATTTGTTTTCTTGTTCAGGAAAATGTTGGCCGAGTGATACGTTTATCTATTGTGTTAAATTTTTGTCAGGAATATTTTGATGCTAGTTTTTATCTAAAAATTCATCATTCAACCTCAATTTCGTCATTTCTTACCACAAATTACCGGGCACGTGCATCATCCAAAGTATTCAAAAGGCGTTCACGCAAGTTCGCTTACTTCCACTCTTATTTACAAATCTTAAACATATGCTTGAATTTATCACATTAAAAAAAATTAGGGGACTAATTGCAGGAAAGCAAGTTGCAAAATATAAGCCTTAGGAATTCAGAAAATGACAAATGTTACTTTATATTTTATATGTTGTTGAAAATAGATGCGATGAGCTTGTTTACAGATCCAAATCATCTGATAACTTGGATGAAAGTTGTAATAGAAAGTTGTCGTTGAAACAAGAAGAAGATTTTGAAGAGATTTTCAATCAAATAATGAATCAGGAAAGAGAACGTCGAGAAAAAGCCCATTCTGTTGCTGATTTCAGCAGCTGGAAAGGAGTCAAAGGCGGACCTGCGTTAGTTGTTCATTATGATGCAATTAAAATTTCGTATGACTTTAACATATTGAACCTGATTTATAATTATTTTAAGTGACTGAATAGTTTACTATAAAAATTATAACATGTATCAGGTATGAAACGGTACTTTTCAAGAAACTACTAACAGCGTGTTGCAATGGTTGCCAGAGAAAGGCCAAGTTGTTAGAAGAGGAAAGTCTGGAAGCAGATCTAGAAGAAACGGATGAAATGAACGATGAAAGCACTTTCGAATGCAACGAACAAAACCAAGAAGGAGTACACGAAGTTTGCTTCCTTCTTTCACAATTTCGTATTTAAGATAAATAATTAATTATTTGCGACTTTTTTCATTTAACAATGATTTATTTGAATTTATCTCGAGAGTCAATCGATTATTATTACTTAATATGCACACTTTTATAAGGAATCTTACAAAATATTTGAAAAAAATATTAGATTTTTTGTGAAAAAACAAATTTGCTTCTTGTTATAGATAGATGCTAAAAGTTCCATGTTGGATTCTTTTCCTTTAAGGTGTTAGCGAATATGTTCTTTACAAAGGTTGCCATGCCTGAAATGGATTACGTTGAAGATTTTGCTGATTTCTTAATTGATGTCGAATTGAATAAGTTATGTGTGTTAAAACGAGCATGTGAGAATTACCTTTGTAACGAGTTGCGCTCAGTAAGTTTACTCATTTAGTCTTTACAGTTGTTTCGTTTTTGAAGCGTTCTACCTACTACATTTTGAAACAGTCTTTAACTGATTTGTCTAGAGGTAAACTAATGGTTTATAAAGCCTCATTTTTGCGAGTCAAAAAAAATAGCAGATGAATTTTTGCAGAAGAAAGACCTGATAACATCCCTACTGCTTGATTTGTTATTTCTCACTATTGTTTTCAATCTACCGATCCTGAAATCTATGACACTTTCCGAACTATCTAATCGTCCCGAAGAACTGAACGAACCTCATGCTTTACTAGCTCTTGAGGAGTACAAGTAATTTTTCATTCACTCTACTCCATTACTAGCTGCTAAGTGACAATTAGTGTGGAACCTACATTCTAGCACGTTCTTATATGGGTACTCAACTTTGACGTAGGCCTAGTTTCACGAGCATATTATGAAGGTGATGAAGCATTAGCCTACTTCTCTTCTTAACGCTGAGGAGAAAAAACGATTTATTGTATGAAAGCTACTTTTTGATACTGCACTCAGATAAAGAATCTTCGAGAAGTTATTTCATAGGTGGCACATATGATCACATCCATCATATCTCTCTGCCACAGCCAACTCTCTTCTCATTCTTTCTTAGAAATATCCTCCTGCCTTGTCTCAGTAATTTTACAATTTTATTTTTCAGTAATTCACTCCCAAATTTTGCATTTACGAAATGTGTCTTATTTGGCTGAAGCGTCGTCTTCGTATTAACAAAAGTCCCTCCCTTATTGCTCATTTCATTGATGTATTAAATAATATTCTTTAACCCGTAATGTGCAATACATGTTTTGCAGAAGTATTGACCGTAGAATGAAAAAACTTAGTGGAAGGAATCTTATTGAATTGATCGAAGAAGTTAAACGGTTCCGAGAGCAGAGGTTACGCACGCAACTAGTCCACGTGGAGTGAGAAAAAAAGTGAAGTCGCATATCTCACACTTCCTTTATCAGTAAAAGTATTGTAAATAGCAGGCTTGGCTCTTAATGCATTTGAGCTGCAAAACAGAGCACAATTATCGCAAAAATGGATGCCAGATTTTTTTAGTGTACATTGAAAAATAATGAAACTTTTACGTGAAAATTTCGCTGATCTGTGAGCAGATAAATTCCACTTATCTAGCTAATAAAGCTCAGCAATAACTGCTGTAGAAAAATCTGGAACCTTTTCGCGAGATGTACAACTATTTTTTATCTCTCAAACGATAAATCAGTCGATATACCACAACAGTCTTTGCCACAGCTCAAAGCAAGATAAAAATCGTCATTTCCAGTGGATTCAAGAAAAAACGGGTACTAGATGTCGAAAACAGTTTTATTTCAGGATAAATGAAGGAAAATGTAGAAGAGAAAATTATATTTAATCGTGCTAGTAAGGTTCCTCCCAATATACAGAGTTCAGTCACAATCTTTTCCTGTTGATCCTTTTACAAAATAACAATACCTAAATTGTTAGCCATGCTACTGCATTTGAGTATATTTGAATGACGACGGCTACATAACAATGCTCCACTTTTTATGCTTAAAAACTAACAAAAACAAAAACATTAATATATCCTGATAAAGAACACTTTAGTCTATATATGTAATCTCGGTATAACTTTTCAGAGTTTTTAGTCATTGAGGTTCAATTACTAAATACAACGATTCTGTGCTCTGCTCAGGTGTCAATCCAAGGGGTATGCCTTTCCATTCCATCAAATTACAGGATGTCCAGCGATGTTTACTGTCTGAAGCATCTGTTGATTTCCTTACTTGTGGTTGTTTCTTACCTTAAATCAAAAATAATTTTATTCCTAAAAAATCCAGAGACACCATTAAGAACATAAACGCAATGCGTGCAATTACTACATTGAAAGTTGTTTAATAATGAGAAAACGCTGGGTGTGAAATCTATTTCAAATACTACTGACGCACTGAAAAAGGAAATTTCAAATCAAAGTCCCTTGTTATTTAGTAACTTGCTTCAAATTGAGGTTTTCTATTATTGCTGATAGAAAACTTTTTAGCTTGTCACAAACCTTGCATAGCAATTTTTGCAAATGAAGAACTATAAAATATAAAATGTGGATATTATATAGACTCATGTTCAGATAAAATGAAGTGAAACTAACTGATATCGTCTTATGCATCTTTTATATTGTTCATACTTTCAGTCTCAGGAGGAAAAATTTTCAATTTCATGATATATATATATAATATTACGTAAGTAAGCTTCTAAAGACTGAAAAATAAAATCCTACTTTCGCTCTGCAACATTAGCTGCCGTAAGTCGTCCACAGTTCTGATTGGTAAGCTGTTTCCAGAAAGTGAAGATGGTGACGTTTCTACTGTTTGCTTATCAGCGCTGTCACTGAGAAGGACTGACAGCTTTCGCAGAGCAGCTTTTTTTTTTTTGCAAACTTTTTCTACTTTATCCAGAACACTACAATGTGAGAAAATATCAAATGCAGCAGAAAAGCGAAGGAGGATGGTGATGGGTTCGTCAGTACTTTTTAAATTCATACCGTTTATACCAAGAAATCTAATTAGAATACTTTAAAAGCAAGTACTGCGACAAATACTTCTGCTGAAACACTTAGTTTTTAACCGGCAAAATCAAAGACCACCTAGCAAATTTATTTTTTAAGTTTTAAATGTTCCAGCCTAAACTGAGGCTTTTGCACCTCTTAGAATTTAGATCCTATATTTAAGGAAAAGAATACTCATTTAAATGGGCTTCTTTCAGTTCTTTTGGCGCCATCATCATTGCTTTTAAAATTCTTTTCCATTCCGCTTCATTTAACACACTCGCTGAAAAAGGATGTTATTGAAAACATATGGATAAAAATTAATCATATGTATTTATGCATACTTTCATATTTCTCTAGCTAAATATTTTCATCAACAGTTCAGTCCTATTCCTACGAAAGTGCTTCACTCATTCATCAGAAAGTCTGCAACAAACGTTTACATTCAACATAAGCATTGAGCAGACGATCAATCCATGCTATTAATTGTCGCTTCCGAATTATATGTATATCACTGTCTAATAATGCTTCAAACATCTGAAAATTGGCTTTTTCACATTCGCTAAGACAGAATATGAGAAGAAATAAAATTCAAGATAAGACAACATGACTCACGTACTCTAATAAATGTTTCTGCTGATGATAATATTTTTATACAACAAAGAATCATTGTCATCAGCAAAAGTGATTATTACTTGGCAAATGTGATTTTAAGCAGTAATTGTATTACTTGCATAAGTAACTCGTGTAACATCTTAGCTTCATTGATGTAGTGAAAAACTGGTTTCCAGAACAATTGCAAATTTTCCGGAATATCCCATATAATTTCACCTTCAACAATATTACAAATAACTGTTCATGAGGAACATGTACAACTCATCATAATACTTTTTTTGTCATAAAAGCTTTTTTTTTTCATAGAATTAAACACATTTTTAATTTAAATAAAATCTCTTACTACTGAAAACATTCCAAGCGACAAAAAATATTCACTATAATATTTGAAAAAGCAATGATAAATTTAATAAAGAAAAATGATAAATCTTACTTGAGAACAAATCGTAACCAACTGACGAGATCTGCACTTTGTCTAAAATTAAATATCCTTCCAGTAAAAATGCATTCAAGAATTGCCTATAAAATAGTTTGAGCAAAACTCTATTTTTAAAACCTGAATTTGAGAAAATTAACAGGTTCTATAAATTCAAGTAGAAATGGCGCCAAAAATTTCATATTTGAGAAAGAAAATTTTACAGCACTAGCTAGAGAATTTGTACAACTGTATTCATAACAACATTCGTTCGTTATGAATCGAGAACTCAACTCTTATAATAAACTGACTTCAAAAATATTTAAAGAGAGGGTAATTTCCCCTACAACAGTAATTATTTGAAAAATAAGCTTCACTAAGTTTTGACTTTATTTCATTCACAAAGTTTTACCATGGATACATCATTATGAACGTCTCCATCTGCGTTAATACGTCCTGCAATTTTTTCTTCATCTCTGGTTTATTTTCATTCTGAAATATGATTTTATCAAACGTCGTAGTACTGTTTAATATCACTGAGCTAACTGGTTTTCAAAGCAGTAAATACACTAATACAAATAAATCACTCACCTACCGTTTCTAAACTGTAAATCATAAAGCGATCAATGAGAGTGGCGGCTTTTTGCTGCAATTCATTCTCATCACTTTCTTCTTGCCCAGTAAAATTAAGCCCAATAGCTTCAGCAACTGGTCTTGACCAGTGATGCTCCTGAAAATCCAGAAAGTCAGCTTCAAAAAAATATGTTTCTAGAATGTCAATTGAAAAAATGCGTAAAATAATTTTGCAGCTGCTTTAGAAGCCTATTTCAAAAACTTTACTAAACTTTTAAAGAAAAATTCATACTAAATTTTATCTTCATTATTTATATATTGACAAACTTAATTAACTGTTAAAAAATAGTAACTAAAACTACAAGTAACAAACTTAACATATTAAATACAATTCTTTTAAATATTTCAGTTGATCAGAACCTTTTAATAGCAATTGATACTTTTAATATGTTTTTAGTAATCGACCGAAAACCATTTTTCAAACAAAAACTTAAAATACTATCAACACCAAAAGATTTACCCACAGCCAATCTCGACAATATTTTGCTGCCTGACGCAAACTTTTCAAAGATGGCAAATGAGAATGTGTTGCACCATGTCGGATATCAACTACCCATTGTGGAATCCCGACCTGAATTTTTTTGAACTAATTCACACTTAAAGACTATAAACAGATATCTTATAATAAACTGTCAAACCTACATTACTAACAGCTGAAGCAATTGATCTGAACTCGTAATCCGATTGACATATTTCATTGACATAATTTACAAATCTGTAAACAAGCAATTTATATCAGTCCTCCATTTTTGCTTGTTTCAATATCTTCCTAATTACCGGATACTTTTGATCACAATATCATGATGAATTTTTTTTTCAAAGCTGTAACAAAATCTGAGTTCGAAAATCAAAACCTTATATAGTTCTTCTTATCGCTTCAAAACAAATATGAAGTCTAACTATCTTAAAAACATCTGCGAAAAAAAAATAATTTGAAGGTGCCAAAGACAATGAAAAAAGAGAAATAGAGAACCCAATGTCAAAATTTTCCATTTAAATAGTAGGTGGTAACCCTCACTAAAATTCACATCTCCATCTCTCAGCTACATAAAAAAGAACAGTAGATGTAGAGCGATAGATAATTTCTCGATAAAGGTTAAATTTCAGACAAACGATATTGATAATCCCCTAATGGTTACTTTGTGCATTAAAGAAAATCTGAAGCTAATCCATCACAAGTTCTCACAAAACTTGACAATCCTAAATATTCTTTACTCGTCATACTCATCACTTGAAAGTCAATGTGGCTTTGCTCTCAGTGGACCCACAATACAAGCCATTTTAGAATCCTTAAAAATTGGAAACCTTGTTGGTTATCAGACTCTACTTCTGATTGTTATCTGATTTATTTTTCTCTGCATCTCTCCTCTAATATTTTTCATTTTATTACACTATTTACTGTAAATTAAAAAATCTCGTTCCATTAAGAAATTGATTAAATCCTATTTCCGTCCTAAAAAAAACTAGGATGAAAGAACAATTCTCGTTCGCAATGCTTTGAAACAATCCAACTTTTGTGAGGTTTAACAAGGATTTTAAGTTCATCAGAAAAGGAAATCAATTCACAGACTTAATTAATCTAATTTCTGTATACAATAGTTAATCTAACTACATAAATATCAATATATATATATACTCTGAGCTTTTGTCTGAAAACAGGCGTACAACACTTGAAATAAAGATTTGGGAAAATTTGCTCCCTAGACAAGTCGTTCTGCAATGATTTCATAAAGAAGGAAGATTTTATGGAAAATAATGCTAATCCCAAACACTTTCTGATGACCGGCTTATTTTTTTCGTTTACATTGTATCTTAACTTTCATCCACAACTTCAATTTCTTAGACATATTTACCATACTAGCTTTTTATTAACTCAATACCAAGCATCTGCTAATTCCACTAAAAGTATGAACATGAGAAAATAAGCAACTCATCTAGTAGATAAGAAAGTACCTTTCTTATATCACGAAAATTTTGATACATCGCATCCAGAAAAGTATGCAAAAAACAAACTATATTAGAGACATTATCAAGAACTATATAATAGACTTGCTCATATTTCAAAACAGCTTCATCTTTCAGAAACTTTCAAACAATTAACATCTAATTCGATTAAAAAATTTTAATGAGCTTATTAAGAAGCTACGAAGAGAATTTTATTTTAGTTCTTGCAAATCTCGAATTTCATAGAGTATGATATTTTGCAGATGTATTATCACTCTATAATATAGTGAAAGATCTGCAATTCCAATTTTTGTGTTGTTTCAAAGATAAAGTAAATAATGATTACGAATAATTTTTAGGCGCTTATTTAAATACTTAAGATATGAATATAAATTAGGTTTAGACCAACCTCTGTCACATCACTTCTTCTGCTTTCTACGTTCAAATCAAAACGTTATCTATTTTATTCCACATCTTCTGATTATTACTCATGTATAAAATTGACTTCCTGCACAACGTACAGGTAGGCTGCCTGATCAAATTTGTATTATACTACGAAGTATATAAAACTAAATATATTGCATACCAAAATTACATAATGTTAGTTAAAAGAATATTTCATCTTCCATTCACTCGCTTATATTCAATAAATTCATTTCCAACCAACGATTTTTAACAACAAATATTTAGCACATGATGGAATTTAGATAGATCGCAACAGAATTGATATGATCATATAACTCTACGTATTATTTTCTAGCCATCATGACATCATTTGTCTTAATCTTACGTTGTCCTGCTTTTCCATCCACTACATTTAAACTTCTGCACTTTATTAGCGATGCAACAATCGAAACGTCAATGCACATACATGCATGTCATGCCATAAATATGCAAATAAATAATCTTTCAGTGTCAAATGATCAAATCAAAAACTTATTTCAGCACACTGAAAATTGTGAGTGAGCAGACAAAGAGACAATGAAAGTCAAGTAAGAAGTCAGACGAGTATGAACCTCCCGAGGCAGTAACTATTCGAAAACGAAGAAGCATCAGAAATTTAATATTCAAATAGCCACTTGACTTACTAAATACGAAGCAATCAAATTATGCAGTTGGTCCACTTAGGGATTCTCAAGGCTCTTGCTTAGCTCTAATCATCGGTTCGGTCCTCAACAAGTTATTACTTACTTCAGTCATCGCCACTGCATTCGTTGGCCAACTTTCAAGATAGCAACGCAAGTAAGACGATACAATTCAAAAAAGCAGCCGAATCAACAACGATTTTCAAATATATCACAGCTTTGTCTACGGAATCAGAATCTCAGCCATTACAACACAAAACTTTTGAGATGCAATTTCCTGCTTTCTGGTTTCGTGGATACTGAATTCATGCGGCCAAAACAACGAATCATTCAATTCATGCTGTTCATAACTTTTCAAACGACAGGTAATCACTTTATTTTAGGGTGAGTTGAGATGAATGGCTGGTTAAACCTATTGATCGAAAATATTAAATATGACTGACAAATTACTCGGTTTTATTTTTGCTAACAAGAAAAAAGAATCCGAATACACAGAGAATAAATTTTTTTTAATCTACAGTCGAAGGAGTATTTTGCTACGACTGCCATTCCGAACTTGGTACATGCAATGATGGTGAATGCGAAGGTGCTGTGTGCTTGAAAATGGAAACATCAAATCGTGATAATGGTAATTATCTAGAAGTTTTTGTAAAAGAAAAGGAAATACAAACTATGTTATCTTTTCTATAGAAATGAAGTGTAAGTTAATCATGAAAACAAACATCCCTCAATACTTTTTTACGCAATATATTATCTACTTTTAACTTCTAACTATTAGTCATGTGAAACAATCTCGTAGCAACTAAACCTTCCAGTTTCCATGTCCATGAAACATGAACAACGAAAAGATAGAACTGTAAGGCAGGCGCTACAAAACGCTGAAGTTAGATGTAAGAAATGAAAGATGACGTAAGGCACGAGAGGAATAAACAAAATGCATTAAAAGTGAAACAGTCACTTGGCGTATTTTTGAGATAGGCGAACGGTACAAAAGGGATGTGGTGAAAGGTACGAAGAAAACGGTTGTCAACAAAGCACATTTGGTTCTAAATGGACGTCACGTTGTGTATGTGGCCAGTCTATGTGCAACGGTGATGATGCTTTAGTGGCAGCTGGTCTTGAATCTTCTTCTGACAACAACAGAACCTTAGCATCGCTACAACTTCTCACCTCATTAACCTTCCTCTTCTTCCTCGCTGCAGCTATGCGTCCCTTTTTCATTCTCAATGCAAAATTTGCATTTTATTTTTCTTCCATATACTTCACTGCACAGCATCTTAATGATTACTGCGCCTCATAAACAAAGTTAAACGATCACTGATTTCACCTCTATTTACTGATATGTGCTTCAATAGCATTTCTCATTTATAATTCTTCAGCTAAATCGAATTCTTCATAAAAATTTTCACTAACTACATTTTACTCCCATTTTAATATATTTTTAATATCTTTGACAACAATGGATAAGAATGAGTACAGTCTCAAGTATTTCACAAAAATATGTATGCTTTGTTCTCCTTTCAACGTAGTTCACATCAATCAAAATGAAAGTATATACTCTTATTTCTGCTAGCAAAAACATGCTACTACTGTTAATGCTTTGAGCAACTGCCTTAATACAATAAGGGTGCACAGTTTGAAAGAAAAATTAATTCGCTATTAAATGAATATAAGATTATTCATTAGAAAACAAGTTACTCCAGTATTTTAATGTCATAAAATATATAGTTATTTTACATTTGATGTACAGAAAATAAGCACACTAAATTTTCACTGTTTCGATTTATGTACTAAAACTATATTTTGTGATTTGTTGTAATCGATTTAATTGGATACAAAAATAGTGATTCTTCGCTAACCAACTGTTAGCGATGAATCAAATGTTACAGATATAATTTTGGTACAAATTTTCTTTAATTTGGGGAAAACATGAAAATTTTAAAATAGAATTAGTTAACCTGATCACTGCAGTGCAATAGGCAAGCCTTACATTCCCAGTTCTGAACCAATCGCCATTTTTAGTTTCTTTATCCATAATTATAGCACGCAATAACATCTCAGTCATATCTGCCGCAACATGTACGGAATTTCCCAATCTTAAACAGTCTTTTGTCCGAAAGGTATTAATACTTCATGTTTTTTATTTGTAAATAATTTCTAACGCATATTTACTCACTAAACCATAAAAATCAGTTCTGTTCCATATGAAACTAAAATATTGTTCCTGTATTTGTATAGAGAGCATAAGTAAACCACATAAAAACAGGGAAAATACCAAATCCAACATTCCATGCAATTAATTTCAGAAGAAAAATTAACGATTAATAAAAAATTAAACATGAAATCGACCTCGCCTTCCATGAAACAATTAACGAAACAGCTTTTCTCAATTCTGATGCCTCTTCACTTCGATATACATCCGTTACAATGTCCCATTCACGTCTAAAAGCGCAAAAGATTTTTCACTTAATCTGGTTGCGAAAGCGTACCAGATGCAATCATTTTCCACTACATATAATTTACAATTCAGTTAATAAAGTATGATGGATTGTAAGTGACATTAAAGTATAATATATGAATTCAAAATGTTACAAAATATATATATATAAATTCAAATGAAAGAACTCAGATAATTATATTCAGCTATTGCAATGATGCTTACATGGAATATTGAAAGCAGTTGACGAGACAAAAGCTATGCATTATCCAAATTTAAGAGAGCTAACCCACTAACTAACCTTGTAAATGGCACTTGAACTCCTTTGAAATCTGACATATTATATTGCACGTGGTCTGGAATATCTTCAGTAAGTGACAGGAATCCAAAAAATTATAACACGCACTAGCAGCACTTTGACCAATTTCATCACACTAATAAAACAAAATCCCCAAATTCTTGAACTTGTTTTCGCAAAACTGCGACCCTTCTAATGCATACACACCTTCAAAGCAAAGAAAGTAGCTGAAAATTTAATGGAATTATGGTGCCATGCATCTCTCACAAAATAAAAGTCAACGGCTATATGTAAATATTTCACAAGAACCGATAGCGATAAAAATCCCATACAAATTTTAAGTAGGCATATTCCCCATTTTAAAACAACAAAAAGCATACTCCTCTCCTCAGCATCCATCATTACAGGCAAAGAAAACCTTATACAAAACCAAAAGAAATGCATTCCCATCCTTCAAAATTATACGCTACTTCCCACGATCAATTGCTGGCAAAATTTAGACTTTAAATAGAATGAAATACAAAAACATCTATTAACAAAAAAGACTGTCCGCATCACAAATTTTTATTTTGATATCGTAAACCAAAAAACCCTCAGTATCATCAATTTTAAATACTTTTGCTTATTCTCCCGCAAATCCGATATATTCGGCACTTTTAAATTTGAAAAAAAGAAAGATTATTATTGGAAACAAATGAAAAATTACACAGAAACAGGCACAAAAAAAGATGCTATTTTTTAAAAACCTGTTCTGAATTTATGGATGATTCAAGAACAAAAGCGTAACATGAAATCACGATTAGAAGTCACAAATATGATATATCAAAGATAACTAACTAACTTAATGATCACAAACAGGCACATATTTGTATAACAGATCATGAAAAATAAGGGCATATGAAAAGAATATAAATGCAACAAACAAATTGCTTCAATGCATAGGTTGTGGTAGTAATGTGAATAAAGATGGCACCTGATATTCAATGATAAGTTGGGAAACATCGATAAAGTACTTTAGAAAATATCGACAAACCAAATGCTAATGTTAAATGATGGCATGGCATTTATGGTAGAGAACAATTTTAATAACATCATTCTAATTGCCATGGCATTTATGGTATAACATCATTTCTAAGTTCAATCATGTATTCAATCAAGGACGAAATTATCAATTAGGAAATGGACATGATGCAAAGGAGAAAGCTTTAAATTGATCTGCATGAAGAGTGAAAAGATGGAACGAGTAATAACTGAAAATTTTTATATAATCAGTGGCTGAGTAGCGACTTTATCAATGACATATTTTGTGAAACCGCGTAGAAATCTTGGATATTCGCGTTTGTAAATAAGACGCAAAGCAGATGCTGGAACCCATCCACCAGGACTTACTGAAATTTTTTTCTCGATCTTAACAAACAATCAATGAACACACAATTTATAGCGACGTAAAAAAATTTTTAGCAAAAACTTATTCCTTCATATTTTCAAAATTTCATAGCACGCTGATATCTAAAACCTATGAAAATCGCTTCAAAAATCATGCAATACATTTCTGACGCAAAATTCACTTCGCGACGCATAGATTTAGTTCTCATGAAACTTCCAAATAACTCTAGAAAATATAGAAATAATAATACAACGACCATATTATAACAATAAAGACTCTTCTCAAATGCGTAGCAAAATTACCTTGCGCACAGTAACACACTTTGCACGAAATATCGCTACGTTCCAGCTTCTCTACATTCTTCTTCTCTCCGTCCTTTATAAATGTCTCACACAACATCGCCACCGTCAAATCCACTCGAATATTTGAATTATGTATAAGCTAAACTCACATTAATACTAAAATTATCTCAATTTATTTTCAGCAATATATGAAAAAATTTTTTCAAAATGTTTATGTGTAGGTAAATTATTTCAAATCTCGAAGAAAATTCACCGGCACTGTTGGGAGACTGCAGTTGTGATTGCATACTAAATATAAATCGAGAGCATTAGCACTTTTTTCATGAGGGAGATATCGTACATTTGACCAAAACAAGGATTCACGTTGAGCAGCTGGCCAAACTTTTTTGTGAAGCTAGAAATGATGGCATTACATTTTCTACTGATAATCTGTTGTAACATATCATGCAAGTTTGACTGGTATAATTGCACTGCCATAAAAATTTCCTTGGTATGACAAGATCAAAATATAATGATGTTAGATAGGAAGAAATAAAAGCTATTAGACTGTTATGTATAAACAAAAAGTTTCCCTACCTGATGAATAATGACAGTATCCATTGAAATTCTTTCAACAACTTTTGCTGTTACCAGTGTATCTGAAAAGTATATGTTGGACATATATTTATATAATCAAAATTTTTTGTAATGCATTATGAGCAGTGTTTACTATCAACAGTAACATATTAAACAAAAATTTTTTCCTTCATACTCATTCTAAGACTTATTAGCTTTTACGAAAGTAAAAAAAAGAGATATTACAGAAAAAGAAAACATCTAAACTTTCTACGTAAAATTAAATTATTGAAAATTATAGGAAAAAATAGAAATCACCAACCATCCCACTCATGTTTGTACCGAGGTTCAAAAAAATAGTGAATGTACTCCCTAGCTGACACACCCTGAAATGCATAAGAGAACATTAATGACAATGTGATATCCACTGGTTTAAACAGTTCATTTCCAGTCCAAAGAAATTTTACTTCCGCATTTATGGATAGAAATTATACACAAATTATACACAAAAATTCACTTTTTAATCTATTTTCAACTGTAAATATCCTACAATTTTCAAACAAACAAGTTGATTTAAAAGTTGTCACTTTCAAACAAAAATCTTAGTGACAGCTTTTTGATTTACAATGCATATTTCATTGTGCATAATCAAGTCACTAAGATTTTTGTTTGAAAGTGACAACTTTTAAAGCAGGTTTGAGCATGATAGCAGAAATTGAAATATAAATTCTAAAAAATTCTGATTGCGAATATAAATTTTTTCTTTGTTATCAAAACAAGGTAAAATTGATCAACACACTTGCACGATCTGGATAGCTTTTATTGGATCATGGATTATTCCGTCAATTTCCAACTGCCTATAATACATTTTTAGACTTCCTTCTTCCAAAAGCAGCTGCCAAATCTGCAACATTTAATATCACCATTACCAGCTGAAGTAAAACATTTAAATAACGTTGGTGATGTTTTGAAGGTGGTGATGTTGTGTGAGACATTTTTTCAAGCCAAAGACCAAATTTGAACGTAATGATCAAGATGCAATAAAATAATCATTCTGTTCAGCATTTGCTTTTTACAACTTTAGTTAGCACAGGTTGATTGTAAATAACTAGATAAACATTTTTCGAAAAGATAAAAGAGCAAAAAGTTTCAGTTGTCTCAAAATAATTGCCTCTAAAGCTGAAATTCCATATGAGGAAAAACAAACTTCATTTTGGACATCAGCTCGAGCATATTTTAACTGCTCAATCACAATATGATTGATTTCGGGAGTAAATGGATTCGATTCTGGTAAAGTAACAACTTTCGGCGGTGATTCCAGAATACTGGGACAACCTTCACTCATTTCTGGTAAACCTCCACTAGGCATTTCTTCTGCTTTGCAATCCTAAAACTTGTTGTCTAAAATGGAACTTTTTTGATGTTAAAAAATTAGATGCAACGACTCATGATTTTCTAGGCGAAACGTACTTCCCATGATTGAAAAGTTTCGACACTAATTTTTTCTACATATCTTAAAGGCACTCCAGCAAAGTTTACATCTTTCATGATGGAAATGTTTTCATGAGCATCATGCCATTCTTGCTCATCATCATCGCTCAATACGCTGTTCAATCGCTGAAAAACAATTCACACAAACGTAAAAAAACTGACAAATTCAGTAAAATAAATAATGCAAACAGTCCCAATAGTGTGACTGCCTGCATTATTCAGCTCCACTGAACTATTTTTTGGAAAAATTTCATTACATTGATAACTCTTCGTTACAGAACGAAATTAATTATACTAATTAAAGCTCATTTTTCCTTTCCATTATATCTCACGTATGAAATACCTAAAACGTACAGAGATGGAGTCATCTATCTGAACGCCTTGTGATTTTTTTGTGATAATTCCAACTTCGAACTTTCTACTGAGAGATCGATCGGGATTACCTAATACCTAAAGCAATCTTGTTTGTAAAAATTATGTGAATAAGGTTTCTCACTCGACAAGAAGACAAGCCTGGAAAGCAAAACTCAAAGGAATATAATAGTCATAAGGTTAAATGTTAAACGAATGAATGAAGATGAATCTTGAATGTGTTATGAAGATGAATCTTGAATCTCTATTCTAATATATTTTAAAAATCGATTTGAGAAATAATCAACCTATATCCATGCTCAAAATAATATAAGTATAAATATATATTTTTATATTATTTTGAGCATGGATGTAGGTTGATTACTTCTTTAATCGATTTCCCATATATATGGAAAGTAGTATAGTATATATATAGTTATATTACCCAAATTTGGGGTAACTGTACACGATAGACTGGGACTGATGTTGAAAGAAACAATATTCCTTCGTTATTTCTGATTTCTATTTTATTCTCTATTCTACCTTTATCTGTTGTGGCAATGTTATGATACGACTTAGAAGCAAATAGCAGAAATACAGTACGATAAGTTGCAACAAGAAACGTAATGGTATCGACAGTCGAATACACCAAAACGGTGGAAAAGTTATCTAATGGCTAGCAACGTGCTTCCGAAAAACGCTCCACATCAAAAGCGACTTGCAAGAAGCAAAAAGAAGTAACGGACCATAACGATGATGCTCATACAACCCCTTGTTGTAAGATTTCTGAAGGTACAAAGACGAAACAAAAGAAGAAGGTAAAGATTAAAGATAGCAAAGTACGAATGATTTCGCCCTCGTTTTGCAGCAGTCTTTTTTAAAAAAGTCTTTTGACTGTTGCAAAACGAGGTCGAAACCGAAAAGAAGAATGTTATGTAGTACAGTAAGGATATCAGAAATCCGAGAAAATGGAGGATGAACGGAGAAAAACCGAAACTGGAATTACTGTAGAAAATAATGTGGGAACAGATGAAGTTGTGAAAATGTGAGATGTGAGAGCACTCGATCAGTGTACCGAAACCAGAACCAGCAGGTTTACTACGCTTGAAATACTCATTCAAGGAATCGATGTTTCGCGGTGCAGGTGGCCAGGAGAAATGCTGAAGGCAGTTCTTGTCCGCTTCGAGAGGATGCCAAAAGAGAGATGACCTTTGTGTAGTTTCTTGCATTGCGAGTTCTTGTGTGCAACCACCCTTGAGGAATTGAAGAGGCAAGAAATTCTGTGATTACGAGTAATGCAGGCCATCCGTCACAGAAACGGAGCAGGTGGCAAGGAATAAACGGGGAGTGTCAAAACACAAGACACGTACTTCGAGCAAAATAGATATATGAGGTTTATTCAGACGTAGAAGTACCTTGTACTAATTGCAAGAGGCTTAGGGACGTGAGATAAACCAGACAATGTGAACGCAGAAAATAATCTCGGAGAATGTTGACTCGCTTATACTTGGAGCGGTAAACTAACGGTGAGTGAATAACCACACACAACCACCCCAAGTCAATAAATGATCTTGCAAGGCAGCTCCAGGTGATACAACAATGCAGTGAATATATGACAAGGCGAGAAAAGACACCGAAGTGGGAGGCAAACATGGAAAAGAAGATACGTTTAATAATTTCCATAAAATCCTCATAGAGCAGTAACTGGCCAGTGAAACACTTGAAGATAAAAACCTAAGAGAGGCCAGAATGTATGAAAAGCATGAATCTAATGCTCCCCTTCAAAGTAACTGTCATGAAGCCCTAAGCACGCGACAGAGCGTGTAAAAGTTTATGAAAGTAAAATAAAAATTTGAGTCCCAACATGCACTCAAAGTCCAAAACGCCAGACTTAAGCTGTTCAGAACGTGATTTTATATGAAAGTAACCGAGGAACAGCTAATTAGTCACAATGCTGGGACAGAAGAATCGATGTGAAACTCGAAAATGGGAGATGATGGCATTCGGCATAACAAAATATTTGGAAGAATTCGTTCCAGACTCTGAAGTGCATGAAACTTTCCCCACTGAAACTGAATTTGGGAAGATAGCCCAATTGGAAGACGGCAGGGTCTGACGGAGTCTATAACTTTTGCATTAAGAAGTGCACCTCTTTACATCCAGATCTATACAAAATAACTGGGCGGATTTGAATAGGAATGAGCTTGACCCGAGGTTCAACAAAGAGAAAACGTGTATGATTCCAAAAGATGTTTCAAAAAAGGTAGTGACTTTAGGTCAATAAGCTGTATATTCAACCTTTACAAGTTGACAATGAAATATGTGACACGAGTTATGCAATTAGAGATTGTGAGAAGACTACAATTAGCAACTGTTACCAGGTTTAAAGTGTAAAAGAGTAAGTACTCTGCAGAGAACATGAAAACACGTTATTTGCCACTTAGTATGAAGTTGAAAAAGCATTCGATTCTCATGCCGAATTCGGAAACATAGTTAGCTATTTGCCTAGCTAGAAAGCACCGGACCCTGATGGAATCTATACTTTTACGCATGGATCCGTAAAGCCTACACTCAACGGGTTCATAAGCAAAAGGTGGTGATTTCCACCGGTCAAGGAGTGCAAGTAACGAATCATTTATTTGTGAATGATCTCAAGCTCTTTGCTACCGACGAGGATCTCATGCAAGATATGACTGAAGAAGTACACAGATTCTTTGAAATAGTAGGATTAGAGGTGAATCTAGCATAGTCAGCCACTAATACTGAGGTATGCGCTGATAAGGCGGTACTCTCGGAAAGAGTTCAAGGGTATAAATATCTTGGAATAATGAGAGGCAGGACTAGCGCTCCGACCCGAGAAAGCTACGATAAAATGCGAGCAGAGATTTTGGCGAGAATTGAACAACTAGCCAAAACTGTACTATAGGGCAAGAAGTTTATCAAGGCACTAAATGAGCACGCCAGAGGTTTAATTAACTATTACACTGGGGTGCTCAAACTAGAACCAGACGATTTTCAAGCAATGGACCATGATATCAAGTAGTTACTAACTAGATATAGAATTCACAGCCAACCTGCATGTTTGAAGAGAATGTACCTGCCAAGGGACGAGTTAGGACGCGGGCTTCATTACGTTGAACAAAGGAGTGAGCTTATGCTTTTGCAGCTTCATAACCTACTTATAGAAATCGCGCTTATATCTCCAGGAGCGTAGCGATTTTGAAACAGAAAAAGGCTCACAACATGTACTTCGCAGTTTGCGTTATCTTCAGACTAAATACAACCTTGTAGAAAATCCAACGTCGAGAAAGTATTAGCAGCCTAGAGAGCGTGTAAAGCGAAATAGGAAATCATAATTTATGCAAAGCTAAGCAAGATGTTATAGTCGATGGCTGATTCATCAAGTGGCTACGATAAAAAACATTATTCTACAATATAGAAATATGTTTGGAGCTGAAAAAGGTATGTGCTCAAATTGTAAGAAATGTGTGAAGATGGTAATCATCTAGCAACGCAGTGCAAAAAAATGTTATATCAAGAATAGTCTTGATATAACATTAGGACTCTGCAAAAAGTATGGTCTTAAAGCATTACCACGCGTGTGGAGCCATTCAATTCAGGAAATCGTCGCTAATGAGAATGTGGAAATTAGAGTCGGCACGCGTGTAAGAACTGCAATTATAATAAGGGCGGATCAACCGGATATCCTGGTGTACGACAAGAAGCGACATGAAGTACTCCCGATAGAGGCTGGCATCACTGGTCAAGATAGGCTGATAGTAATCGAGACCGAGAAAAAGCGAAAGTATGAATTTACTGGCTAATAAACTCAGGATAGAGATAAAATGCAGGACGAAAATAATTCCATATGTGGATCACTTGGACTGGGATTGCAACGAACTTCCATATGCGCTGAGTGAAAGTGATCAGTATATCTGATCACATCGAGATGTATATCCAATTGATAGTACTTAAGAAAACGCTCACAAGCATTTTATTCGATCAGCACAATGGAATCGATGAAACGAAGCAGCAGAGCTATGCGCAGGACGAGTGCAACGAGAATTCCAGAATACAATCCAGCGCCAGAATCAATAATAAAAAAGAATAGTCCCCGTGTGATATTGATTATATATAAAGTTAAACTTCTGTTTGAGGTTATAAATCTAGTCTGAAACTTCGGATTTTGTCATTCGATATAAACATATCACAAATCATAAATTACAATAGTTGATAAGCATGCAACATATAACGAAGTACTGATCTTTGATCCAGGATAACAAATGTTATCCAGTAACAAGAATCAAAGTAACTTTAGGCAATCCTAAATAATTTTCTCAGTATTTTTCAGTCTCTAACGATGTTTCACATTCTCATAAACTAAATCAGTACTTTGCACATGAGAAAATATATATGTTAAATAAGTATCTTGCACTATTTACTGAGGCACATTTCCTTTCGTCCATCTAAAAACGAGTTAAACTTCCCAGTAATCACGAGATTAAAGCTTGACATTACCTGCTTGGTAAGTAAACAAACACATGTGTTGATATTTTGTAATACAGCAAATGTTACGGCATTCAAAGCTAAACTTTCGTCTAAAAGTGAAGTTGACAATGCGTTTTCCTTATTATCCTGCATTAAACCTATTAAGTTTTCTAATCGTGTTGTTTGCTGCTTGATCATATTGTTGTAACGTTTCAGTTCATCTATTTTATTCAGCAATTTCGACTGAAAAGAGAAATCCATCTATAAATAAAGCAATTCATTCATGATTAAACTGACTGACTGAGTCATGCAGATTAGTACTTTAATTTCTAGATTTGTTAATTGTTCAACAAAAGAAATTAGAATTAGACAGATCACATTAGATTAGATTTTTTTGACCAATTATATTCTATAAACGTGCTTATTAAAATCAAATATCAAGGATTTCACAAAAATCAAAAGATTATTCTCCAAATATTAATAAAAATTTCTTTACCTGACACAAAAGACTTTTCTTATTTATCGGAACTTATATAATTCTCGAAGAACGACAATTTTTGTGAAATTACGATCTTTGTTTTGTAATCACAGTCAGAATAATTCATTATTCATTTCATTATAGTGACAGAGCCCTTACTTTTGAATAGCTATCCGATCTCCCCTTTTCAATTTTGCAATTAAAAGAAAGAGGAAAATATAACATGGTGGCAGAAGGCACCTCATAACAAGGTAGACAGACTTATAGAATTATTCTCCAAATACTCTTCCTGTGAATATGAAGCTAGGACAAAAACAAAATGTTCACTAACAGAATTTAAAACAAAATTACCGATAAAGACTTCTCATAACTCGGGCTTCCTGTCGAATTACTATTCGAGAAATCATCTGTCTTTCTATAGGATGATCCTAGCTGCTTATTTTTGAAGAAACCATGAAAAAAGTGAAGGATGAAAATTTAAATACACTCTTCCTGTGAATATGATAAGATCGTTCTGATAAAATGTAGATAATAACACAAATATAATGTCAAATAAGTACTTGCTGTCCTGAGATTGATAGTGAACGTTGCGGGTTATTTTTTTCTTGACTTGTCGAAACCATTCGGCGGTACTTGCTCTGAAACGTTATAAATAAAAAATGAGTTATATTTCTGTTCGAAAACTTTTCACAAAATATAGTCTACTAACTATTTGGTATCTCAACGCACGCAACCATAAACTACGCGTCCTTTTGTTATCAGCTTTCAAATACCAGGAAGTACCATCCGTTAGAACATCAAATCTATTAAAGTCAACAGTACTTTCCTGCAACTGTGGAATAGTCTGCTTTATTAAAATTTTTTTTTTTTTAAATTTTGAAGAAGTATAATAACCTTTTTATTACAAGGTAAATTAGAAACTAAAGGAAACTAATTATTGTATCTCTAACCTTCTTCCGAAGTAATAAAGTTATCAGCCTCTGCTCTTCAAAATGTTTCCGAAAAACGATTAAGAACTAACTACAATATGAGCGATACATAATGCGACCGACCCACGACTTCCATACCGCTTTTCAACTTCAGATTTGTAGTACATCAAAATACCATTTTCTAGCTCGAAGTATCGCTTTTGCCATCCAAAGACAAAATTAGTCCATTTATGTAAGACACCACAAACTTTCAAGCTGAAATAAAATTCAAAGCATTACTGACATGTATAAACAAACAGACACATTTATTAAACAGACTACCTTCTATTTGTTACAAAACTAATGCTGTTAGTCTCGAAAACTTACAGAGATTGGTCACATCTAATTATTTTATCTTCGCTAAATGATCTCGTATATTTCCTTATCATTCCTTGCTCATACGTCCGGTCTTCCTTTTCTTACTGCAAAAACCTCATAGTATCTAATACGGAGAATATTACACGAAACAAATGGAAATAAATGGTATTCTTAAACGAGATGATTAAGTTGCACAACGTCTCAAAACATAACGCTACTTTGTTTAGTTTCTGCAATGCTTTCTTTTCAAATAAGAAAATCGTTTGTCGATAGTGGAAACGTGGTAGGTCACGTGAAGTAAATGCGAGGAAGTTACTAGAGGCATTGTTAAGACTGATTGGACGCATAAATAAATTCCTGGTGATTTTTGAGATTAAATAATGCAGAAAATTAAGAAAGCATTTGATTGTGATTGTTGTTGTAACGCCGACTGCAGTAAATTGAAGATAGAAGACATGTTATTATCAAATTGCGGTACTTTAATTATACAAATTACCAAATATCTTTTATTTAAACAGGAAATATTTGTATGAATTTAATATTCCCAAAGTGTAATTAGTATTGGCAAACTTTATTGTCTAGAGCCTAATTTTCATAAGTATGTATCAGTTTTACGACATTGACTTTCCTTCTGTTGCTATTAATCTTGCATGTTTCAAGTTCGATCATTTCAAGTTTCAGTTTGTGAAATGCATAGTGAAAAAAACTCTGTCCCCATTTTCAGTAATCGTTGTTGTAGACAGTTTGTTTGTTTGGTGAGATGCAATCCTCAAGGGAAATACTTAACTGCGGAAGACTTGCTAAACTATGCATCAGTGTGTAATTCGATAATTATTACGCACGCAAGTGTTTTGCGTAATTTTTTTATGCGATGTACCGTTTAGATGATTTCAGGACGCATCCAGGCGTAACGTTTCTTTCGGTAAAATGAATGGATACTTTTTCACTTTCACTCAACAGGCATACTTGAAAGATTGAAGCCGCTGCTAAGTGATTTCATTAGCTTTACCTTATGGTTAATTCTGAAAGTAAATCTTGATGGATTGATGGATGGATGGATAAATGAATATGATGTGCACACTATCTTGTTGTTTTAAATCCCAAAACAATTGTAAACAAAATGATATCAAATTGCTTAGTTATGGCATTTTAACGTAACTAAGTATCATATTCATTTTAGTTTTGTCTCGCATAATTCACTAATCTTACACTTTTTCATGCATTGTTCTTTTTACCAATTCTTTGATTCTTTGTTATCGAAAATAAACTTTCACTAAACAACTTTAATATGAAAATTAGTTAAATATGTTTCGCTACTCTAAAAACGCTCTTGCTTGACCTAAAAAAATTTTGATTGACAGCAAAACTGAAATAAACGTTAGTCTCTGACCTGGAAAAATAAAATTGTTTCTTAGATTATTAGGTGACTTGATATTCTGTGGCCGAATTCTGTGCCATCATTAGCATTTTAATGTGCTCATTTGGGCATGCATATATGCGCAGTAATTGGCCAAAGAATACCGAAGTCAATTGTTTTAACATCTGCTTCTAATATAATGTTTCAGCCTTACAATTTCTCTAATTCCTTTGTAAGCAATTCCTTTTGCGACAGAAATAATGGTCGTTCAGAATACATTCCAACACATGAAATAGCTATTTATTGTAGCATTGTCTTGATTTGATAGTTTTCGTCAACATATTGCACTGTCAAAATATTTCAATCAATAAATTTAAAAAAATAAAAACAGCATTTAAAACTTTTCAAAAAATTATCAGTGTAACAGAAGTTGATATTATGCTTCAATGCATATTTGGTACAACTTTTGACATATAAAATCAAACAGCACCACTGTTCATCATAAATCTCATACATACTATAACTAGGTATTAGTAAGGGTCAGCTGTTCGTTGATCCATCTGTTGTTAGCAGCTTTGATAGGTTAATTGAGGGTTAGAAAAAGCAACAGGTCAGCACCGGTCATTCATTTCCCTTCCGCATGATTTCAATTTGCAACTGTGATTTGATTTTAATATTAAGTGGTCATTACGAATGACAAACTGCTCTTCGTTGCCATTAATCATAAAATTTTAAAAAAAAATTGTTTCTTGAAAATTATATTAGCTGTTAAATCAATCATTACTGATTGTGATGCTCAAAAATCAGTTACAGTGCCTCAAATATGATTTTAAAAACCAACACTGCTTTTTTCTATTTAACAAATCATGGATGTTCAATTTGCAGGGAAATTCTGAAAGCCATTTTCGTAATACAATTTTGAATGATTAACACACAGTCTGACTTGGGTATTATAACTAAGACTTTAACTTTAGAAAAATTAAATATTTTTCAGTGATATCTTCATAAATACTTTTTCATTAAGAGGTTAACGAATTTCAAGTGTTAACAGAAGTTGACAATAGTACTATTCCTTACCCAAATTTGAACAATATTTCAAGATAAGCTTTGCAGTTATCGCAGTTGGAAGCATCGCTTTCTTGCGAATCATAACATTTGTTTACTTCTTAAAATAGATCTAGAGTAAGTTTTTCAGAATCCTAACTTTTCCTTCATATTAACTTTTTTATTTAATTCAGGAAATCAATAAATATTCAGCATTTTTCTGACTTCTTTCTCACTGCAAATTCGTTTGCCATGGAACACAGAGTATTAGTCGTTTTAGCTATTCATAGTCAACTTTAAAACTTTTGTGCCAAGTCAGGAAAACAAGGAAGTGAGAACGAATTGAAAATGGAAATTTTTATTTCTGATTTCTGTAATGGTTCCCTTCCGGAAGGTGAAGGCAGCAAGTCAAGATTTGAAATATTTTCAGTAGCACAAAAATAAATCATATTGAATTAATTAGTTTTTTCAAATGACACTTACTTGTACATTCACTTATAAATTTTTTGTACTTCAAAGCTTCAAACTGAGGTGAACTGAAAAGACGGAAATGAAAAACAAACGAAAATGTGATCACATTTGTCGATTAAGACTTTTTCGATGTCATTCGTCTGTTTTTGCATAGTCGATTAAAACTTCTTCTGAAATGATCCAGAAATATGAACTGAAAATCTATGCTAATAAGTTGTGCGCGTGAATAAAATATAGTCTCAGAAAGTCAAAATGGAATCAACTTTTGAAGTAAATACTAATAAATTCATAATATATTGTGTTGAGGAGTAGACTTTGTTCGATTCGCACGCATCTATTTGCTCAGATCCGAAAAGAATAGTTTGCTTTTGTAAGAAACAATATATTATGAATTTGTTAGTATTTATTTCAAAAGTTGATTCCATTTTGACTTTTTGAGACTATATTTTATTTACGCGCACAACTTATTAGCACAGATTTTCAGTTCATATTTCTGGATCAATTTGCAAATTGATGGGTAGAAGATATTGGTGTGAATGTATGGTCTACCAAAGTTGAGAATCTCTTTGGTCTTGATCTTTTTATTAGTTTCCACTTTGCAACCTGTTTGTCATTGATACTGCAAATAGGAAAGGGTTTGCTTGTATTGATGAAAATGATCTGACAGCTTTTTCTATTTTCTTCAAAACAATAACAATCTATGCAGAACGCCGCACTGCTTACTTAAGCTTAGATCACTTTATTCTAAGCATTAGAACCATTTAAGAAATACGTAGTTGTTTCGTTTTGATTAAATTTTTTTTTTCACAAATGAATGTTTATAGGCATAAATATAATAAATTATGTTTGTGTCAAAGCATGTATTTATTCTAAACAGGTTACAATTTTTGATGTAAAAATTGAAAATCCATTAAAAGAGTTACTAAACTAAATTCTTCGCTTTCATCTACTGAATTGAAGAGGACAGCTTACGTGAAGATTACTCATAAATGGAAGTTTCGTATTGTCATGAATAAAAAGTGAATTACTGTAAGATCTGCAGGATTAATTTCGGTGTGTGAGCAGAGCTGATAATTTCAATTACAAATATGCTACCTTAGCACTGTGTTACATTGCTAAAGATGTATCGTGATTAGTAATTTTGCGTTGATCCTTGACATTATACAACCCATGCGGTGCATGAAAAGAATTACTGTGGAAGTTGCAGAATTGAGACTATTTTAAATGATTGAAAAAGCTGATCGGTCCCTTACAGCACTGCTCGACTTGTCCATCAGAAACTTAATACTATTGTGAGACAGATTAGAATGCTCGATTACTTAGTGAATTAAATGGAAAGGATTTTGTGATAGAAACGATGTGTGCCAAATAGATCTACACCCCCTGCTGTTCCCTGAGGTGTATATTATTACCTATTCTGTTTTACATTCTTGAGGTGGACCAGCTTCTTGCATGCTATTTAACAAATCATACTCGCTCACTTGTAGAAAGTTGTATTATAGCCCGTCTGCTAGTACCATACACCACTTTCTTCATCACAAAATCACAATTAATCGGATTACTGGAAGCGTTTATCCAAGAATAAATCATCTTTTGTTGCAATTCACTTATTATTGACAATAAACTCATCGCTCTAACTTTTTGCTCTATTACTTGACAATATATATTATGTTATTTGATTCATTTGTGATATTAAATGTGTACAAAATCAGTGCTTTCACTTTGCCATGAAAAAGAATGTCATGTCATAGGCAATAATGCAATGTTTAAATAAAATGTTTCATTATAAGACTGCAGTTGGTGGAAAAGGGTTGACATTCAAAAACGCATGAAAAATGACTGAACACAAATAAAGTTTGACCATTTTTAATATATTAATGAATCCATAGATGTTTTTACATATCATTTCATGTTTATCAGAACCACTGTTAAAACGAAAAGAAGGTTATCTCGAATCTGCGATTCTTTCTTCTGTAAGGCAAACCATTGTACAATATTTTTCAATTCTCATTTATTGTTACAGTACTTGTTACAATTCTTAAACGCAAACTTTGACCTTTATGACAAGAAATGACATGGACTACTACTTATACATTATTCAAATATTGGAAGCGTTTATCCAGGAATAAATCACCATAAATCATCTTTTGCTGTAATTCACTTATTATTGACAATAAACTCATCGCTTCAACTTTTTGC